CTTTCGGAAAATAAAGCCTTTTCCGAAAGATTCCTTATCCCTTATTGGATCTTATTGGGATAAGGGATCTTTCGGAAAAGGCTTTTCTGAAAAAGGGATGTAGTCTAGACATAGTCCTGGGGTGTGTTTAGACAGCAGGGCTATTTTGGGATACCAGAGGTCTTTTAAACACACCCATTATTTTGAAATATTTTTTGAAATAACGGGTGCACTATTCCGGAATCCTTGTGACCCCCATTTCATGAGGGTTAAGGGATGTCTCGAAATAGCTCATTTCAAAATTTGGTGCTGTGTAGATGTGCCAAATTTTGAAATTAGCTATTTCAAAATACAATTGAAATCGAGTTTAGGGTGCTGTGTCGAGTGTGTCTATGGGACAGACCTTCAACTGGTGTAAACAGGAATACAGGGGCGGATATACGGCAGGGCGAGCGGGGCGGCTGCCCCGGGCCCCGTGCTTCAAAAAGCCCCGCGCATGCGAATGCGCCATGGCAAAGGGGGCCCCTGCAAGATTATGCTGCCCTGGGCCCCTCCAAATGGTCATCTGCCCCTGCAGGAATAGCTTCATTGGCTTCAATGAAACTACACCCAGATACATCAGGAGAGGAACTGGCCCTCTGTTTCTAAAGTATGCACAGTGCTTCATGAGCCTATAAGAGGACCAACGCTTTAATGGCATGGATCTGGAAAGCTACATTAAGTGTATTTTATCCCCTTGGGTTTGAAATAATATTTATTTTTAAAATGGAAATCTCTGCCACTAGCTATTTGAGGCCATAGCAAATCATTGTAGGGTTAACTTACTCAGATGGCTATAAAGAAACTTCACAGGTTACCTTTAAATAAAACAGTGTGTGATGCTGCATTTTAAGTTATAAGGAGGCTATCGGAAAGAAGTGGTTCAAAGAGTGCACTGAAAAAATTTCCAGTCTTTCAAGTTCCCATCAAACTCGCCACGCTGATATTCATCTAACTTACGTTGTTGTCAAAGAAATAATGTTTAATGGGGTGAGACTGTAATGCTGGATTTCCTGCTTTTGCTCCTGTAAGCCCAGACCTGTAATGTCCTTCTAAAAGAAAAACATGTCACAGAGAAGTATAAAAAAATGGAGTTTATTCCCCTGAGGGACTAGTCATTGGATAACACGGCTGACTTGTATAAATAGGTAACCACGGTTTGTTTCAATAAAAACATTTTACATACACTGGGCATAATAATCAGCACTTTGATATTCAAAGATTAAATAACAAAAGGCCTACTGTGGCCTCAGCTACAACCAGAACATTAAAAGAAGCTCCCTGGTTACACTCCTCACTGAAGTCAGTTTTATGTATGTATGTATATATTTGTATAAAGGGACAGAAACCACAGAGTGTTGTCATAGAAGTGATTCTATTCAGAGATGCAAGCTGCCCTCATTGTATTATCAGCCTGCTTTTCTAGCCTTCCCACAAACCAAAGAGATGGGCTCAAGCCAGACAATTTTGATTCCAATTTCAAGGACAGCCCCCTCAAAAGTTTTGGGGTAATCAGAGCCATGGCTTTGGGGCTCTACCCACAGGACACTGTTATGAAATCTCAGAAACATACTCCTCCCGTAGTTCAGAGGAGGGGGGATGAGTTTTGGTCCATCTGTATTCTTCCTGCTATATTTGGTTTTATTCTGTGGTGAAAATCTCTGTTTGCCAAACACAGCCAGGCTCTCCAGATTGTCACGCAGGAATGGAAATGAAGAGAATAAAGAAGCTGGACCCAGGGCCCTGAGGGAGCCTGCAGTCTATTTATGGCATTACCTAAGATAATGTTTGTTATGGTTGTATGTCAGAGTAGACAAGGCTGGAAGTATGCGCCAGTCTCTTAGCTTGTAAGCTGCCATGGACAAGAGGCTTGTATTCTGGGCATGTAAAAAACTCCACATCCATTACCGAAACTTCATAAATGGTAATTCTGTCAAGAAATCTGAACAACCCTTTGAAAATGCAGTAAGTGATCTCCTATGCCCTGATCCAGCATTAAGTGAGTAAATATTCTGGAGCAAGGATATGATTGTGCTTCTTATTTTTAGCAGCCGGAACACAAACACCAAGGGATTTGTCTAGCAATTGCTTTAATGGAGCTATGTTTACTGGGGCAGCACTTGTGTCATTTACTGCCAATGACTTGCAGAAATAGTATGAATCTTATTTGCACAATTGATGAGACGAAGGTAAGGTTAGAATGACTGCAGTAAGCATCTTGGAGGGGAGGGAGCTTAGACGTAATGTAACTAATCTATCAAATTCTTATTACAGGGCTTTCAAAATTTAAGGCTCTGGTTGTTGACAGGAAAGCCTGTAATGCTACTGCGGCTGTTGTCTTCCAATGATGTATCTGAGCGGTTGGGCAGCAAAGAAAGAAGGCACATGTTGGGTTAGAATAAGGTCTTAAATAAGAATAAAAAATAGTGAAAGTTCCTGCTAAATTTCTATGTAAAGCTGCATTGGAAAAGCAGATAAGGAAAGGTCAGGATTGCTGTGATGGAAGATAAAACACCCTCCAAACATTCGTCAGTGTTGCTCTGCCATTCAAGGAGAAATGGAGGGTGATACCTTGCCCTGCTGTCTTTGAACTGTGTGCCCAGTGTAGGGTCTCACCTTTCTTTCTCCATTATTTGCTCACTGTTCTGCACTAAGAGCTGTAGAAAAAGAATGTTCAACATGGATTTGGAACAAATTACTTGTTAAGGATGACCTTGCCAAGCTGATGTGCTCCCTTAATTTCTAAACGGTGTGGTCAGTGTTCGTAATTCAAGGGCTGTGCCATGAGCAGATGGATTGTCCTTCCCTAGGTTGGTATGACAGATAATAGCACTGACCAGTGTTCCCTGTAAGTTGGGTTCTTGGGCAGGCGGCCACCCCGGAGAGATTGAAATACCACCCAGCTGATTGGCAGAGCGCCCACAGCCACCCACAGCCAGCAGCATGTATTTCTATTAGCGGTGCACATCTGCACATGCCTTAGTGCACATAACAAAATGTCATCTGCTCATGAATGGAACAAGTTAGAGGGAACATTGGCAATGACCACTCTTGTTAAGGTTGTAAAACAATTTCCATTTTAGCCCTTGTTCTCACATATTCAGACCGTTCTGAAATATTGAGCTTCTGGGGTGAAATTGTCCAAACTCAAGACCTGCTCTAGGGTTAAATTATTATATAGTTTCCCCAATTATTTTAAAGATGTGGCAGGATTTTTTTTAAAAAAAAACACATTTTTATTGAAAACATATTTTCTTAGTATAAAATTTTTTACTTTTTTTGGTGATAACTCAAAAATAGCTGAACTTCAAGCTTGTTGTGCAAATAAGAACAAATGAGCATTATGTATGCTGTTGAGTTTGGGAGGAATGATATAAAAACCCCTCCTGTGGATCATCAGCAGGGTTTGGGCCTGAGACCTTCAGCACAGACTAGGGATATAAGCAACTAGTCAACTAGTTGATTATCTGATAAGCAAATGCTTATCCGGCAGTCGAGTAGGAACTTGACTACTCGATTCCCCCGCTTTGCTGTTTCTATCAGAGAGAGGCAGGCAAGGGTGTGTGCACAAGCTGGTGCTAGGGGGAGCCAGCTTAAAAGTCAGTTCCCCACAGCACCGTCTCAGTAGGGGACAATAGGAGGCAGAGGGCAGTGTGGAAATGGCACGAGCAGGGATTGAAACAATCCTGCTCATGCCGCTCCTGACTGCTGGCACGGGTTCCCCTCTGTGCCTTCTCCTTTGAAATGTACTGCTTCAGTCCCTACTGGCGGGGGTTCCCGCCGCTCCTCTCCCTTTGAAATGTACAAGAGCCACCCATGGCTCTTCTATATTTCAAAGGGAGAGAAGCAGCAGTCAAGAGCCACACAAAAGGGATTGTTTCAATCCCTGCTCGCATCATTTCCCTGCTGCCCCCAGGGGTGTAGTAGAATAGTGAGCATCCCCCTTATCGACTAATTAAGTAGTAGATGGAAATTCCATCGACTACTCGATTAGCTGATTAATCAAAATTTAACATCCCTAGCACAGACTTCAATTATTTGAGCTAAAAGAGTAACTCTATTACATGGTAACGATAATAGGTTCCTGCCCTTTAGCTTCTATGTAGCGCTGTGACAGGACACCCTCGCCCCACACTGAAGCCCCAGGGGGGCAAGCCCTGTTTGGAGCCCCAGACACAGAGCACCAGAGGTGCAACAGGTGCTCCCGCGCAGCTGCGCAGCTGGCGAGCCCGGGGGCCGCAGTGAGCAACGGGCAGACGTTGCGGATGGGACAACCTTTCCTCCCCCCCAGGACGTCATTATGGGCTGCCCCTGCCCCAGGGAGGGGCGGAAGTGGTGGGGCGTTTGAAAACGCCGCTGTCATAGTGGGGAGCGGCGAAACCGACGCAGCTCTGAGGAGCCAGAGCCACTGACCAGCATCCACTCTGGAGGCATCCGGACGACCCGGGGGGAGGTCAGCCTTGAGTCTCCGGGTCTGGGGGGGTGGGTAAGGGGGGAGCTACGAGGGCCCCCATGGTCCTACCCTGCATGGCAGCACGGCCGGGGGCAGGGGGAGAGGAAGCAGCCCAGGGCACAACCAGGAGAGGTTGGTGGGCTGACGTGTTTCGGCTAGACGCCCCGTCAGCCGGGCCAGATTATGGAGGATCCGTGTCCTTAGGCCCTGGGCTGGGGCCCGTGAGTGAGGGCAGGCCTGGGCCCCCCCTCCCTCTCCGACCCGGAGAGCATCGGACGCTTCTGCCTGGGCTTAGAACACGTCTAGCGTAGTGCACCAGAAATGTGTCACGCCTGGCTGTGGGTGTGGGACCCATTAGGGCAAGAAGGGGGACCGCCCCAAGGAGGCAGGGCCATAGCCCCGGCCTCGGACATGGTCACAAGCAGAGAACGAAATAGAATGCATTTAGCTAGTGTGTTGCTTTTCAAATAACAAAAAGTATTTTCTTTTTTCCAAAACAAGAAAAATTCTGCTCAATTACTCTACTCACCCAGGTCCCCTTGGCGAATATCAGTCCGAGTTGCTCCTCCAACTATAAACTGAGGATTGGCACAAAACTCCTGAAAATAATTTGGTTACATTCATGTTATTCTTGGTGATCTGACAAAAACTGCAGTTTGTTTCTGACTCAGATTTATTTCAATGCAAAATCCAGAAAGAGAAGAAACATAAACATTTCCAATATAAAAAAGCACATTGGAAAAATGTTCTTTTATTGCAACATCTCAGGTGATGAAAACTCAGCTAAACTTTAAATTCTAATGTATTTTAAATACTTTGAGCCAAACCTTGATGCTATTACCCAGTCGTTTTTACTATTGACATCAATAAGAGTTTTGTCTGAATAGGGAGTGAGTAAAAATTGAAAAAAGAACTTCAGATTTGGCCCTTTTTATTTACTCTGCAGTTCACTGGGCTCAGTCAATTAAACTAGGTTGGTCAGGTTCACTTGCTAGTTTCTGAGAACCAGGATCACGCTTTTATTTGGGCCTGTGTTTGAACTCCCCACATCTATTTTCATTGCATTGAAAGAATACACATGCAAACATTTCTATTGCTATTAGCTTTTGTAAATCTCCCACTTTTTCAGAATCTTATTTTGGGGCCAGTCAGGGATTTTAAGGTAAAATGTCTCTTCTCTTCACGGCAAATCTAATTATCCCTTGAGTTACAGTTACAGAGGAAATTGTCCATATATACAACTTGCTCAAAGGTGCAACTGTTTGGAAAGCCTGAATAAAATCCACCCATTATTTTAAAGCTAGAACATGATTTAAAGTTTCCCCACTCCTCATTTATTCTGAGCACTTTGCATGAGTTTCTAAATGAAGGTGATAGGCAGCTTACAGAAGTTTTTGGCGTGAAGGCATTAAGGGAGAAGCCCAGAATCTATCCCAGTGGGAGCTGGGCCCTATTGCCAGAGAGCTTGCTTCAGAATACATGTCTCTGGATGGTGGGGGAGCCAGGGTGGGATTATGATTTATAGTGCCCCAGCAAGGGAGGTTCTCACAATCCCTGAGGAGAGAATTAGTCCATGAGCTGGCTCTCCCTTGAGTCCTTCTCCTGGAGAGGAAGGTGGGTCAACTTGTGAGCCTGAGCTTACACGAGATAAATCTGTCTGAGCTGCTGCCTGCTTTGCTTATGCCTTTTGGCACTTTGTCAAGCTCCCTGCCCTATTCCGACCACTCCCCGCCCTGCCCTGGGTCCTGTTCTCTGGGTGCATAGGGTATAGGAAGGGGTCAGGCCTCTGAGCAGCACCCTCCCAACTGCCCACATACTGCAGATCTCTGCTGAAGATCTCTGGTGGCAAAGAGCCCAGTATAACTTATTTTCATTTCAGGGTAGATCTACAATGCAATTAAAAACCTGTGGTAGCTGGTGCCAGCTGGTTTGGACTCTCAGAGCTCAGATAAGAGGCTGTTTAATTGCAATGCAGACGTGCAGGCTTGGATATGGAACCCTGTGAGGGGGTAGGTCCAGAGCTCAGGATCCAGCCTGAGCATCTACACCACAATTAAACAACCCCTTAGCCTGAGCCCTGAGAGCCCAAGTTAGCTGGCACCAGCTGCCATTCATTTTAATTGCAGTGCAGACTTACCTTTAAGTGCCTGTCATTTCTGAGCCTATGCCAAATGACTAGACAATAGGGCTACATCTAGACTGCAAGACTCTTTCGAAAGAGGCTTTTTCAAAAGTATCTTTCGAAAAAGCCTCTTTCAAAAAAGAGTGTCTAGACTATAACCAGTACTTTCGAAAAAGCAAGCCACTTTTTCAAAAGAGAGCACCCAGGCAGTCTGGATGCTCTCTTTCAAAAAAGAACAGTTTGCATTACATAGCACCTTTTATCGAAAGAGCACTTTCGAAAAAAGGCATTCTTCCTCATAAAACGAGGTTTTCTGTGGTCGAAAAAACTGCTGCGTTCTTTCAATTTACTTTTGAAAGAACACAGCTGCAGTCTAGATGCAGGTACAAGATTTTTCAAAAAAATGCCACTTTTTTTCAAAAGGTGCTCTCTTTTGAAAAAGCGGCTTGCTTTTTCGAAAGTACTGGTTGTAGTTTAGATGCTCTTTTTCAAAAGAGGTTTGCAGTCTAGACATGGCCTAAATGTCTCCCTAGGCATTGTCTACTTCCTCCAAGCAGCTTTCTGCAAATCTAGCGACAAAGCGCAGGAAAGAGGCCTGTGATGGAAGGAAATCTGTCCATCACTGTGAAGAAGCATTTTGCTCCAGGGGATGGGGACATTTAGCACCCAGTATTTGTTTCATGACTGGACATTTTCCCAGCAGGAACTTATGGACTCTGAAGCTACTTCTAGACTGTAATCCTCTTTCAAAAGAGGCTTTTTCGAAAGTATCTTTCAAAAAAGCCTCTTTCAAAAAAGACTGTCTAGACTACAACAGTACTTTCGAAAAAGCAAGTCGCTTTTTCGAAAGAGAGCACCCAGGCAGTCTGGATGCTCTTTTTCAAAAAAGCACAGTTTGTATTACATAGCGCCTTTTTTTGAAAAAGCACTTTCAAAAAAAGGCATTCTTCCTCATAAAATGAGGTTTACTACATTTGAAAAAACTGCCGCGTTCTTTCAATTTACTTTTGAAAGAAAGCGGCAGCAGTCTAGACTCAGGGGAAGTTTTTTCAAAAAAAGGCCACTTTTTTTCAAAAAAAAACCCTGAGTCACCATCACCCAGTTTCAACATCATCAGAGGAAATACAATTCCATTCCCCCGGAATCCAGGGTGGAACTTAGAGCAATAAGCACACACACACCCCGCAGAACAAAGAATACAGGGGGAAAATGAGCAGGACCTTTAAGCGTGTTACTTGTCACTGAAGATTTCCATTCCTTTAAAGAGACAGAGTCGGATTCTGGTCCCTTCTCAGGTAAACTAATAAGTGGCAGGTTAGGATCCTTCACCACAACCTGAGGCAGGGCACAGAACACTCATGATGCCCTTGTAGTTGCTACAGCATCCTTGAGGCTGCAATAGAGTTCTACACAGCCTCTCTGAACAGGGCAGTCCAGCAAATCTTTGTAGTTGTAGGTTGTCTATGACTCTTCCACCATTTTGCTGCATTGTGCAATGGATACAAAGTTACTACCCCTGCCCAGGCTGGCTTTGCATCATGCTGTACTGAAGTATGTAGCCCTTTTGGTGTTAAAGTTGTCCATGACCAGCTAACACATTGGCAGTCGTGACTCTTTGTCTATGCTAGGGACTGAGCGGTGTTTAACAATATGTTAATTCTAATGTATGAGTTAAAATGTTTTCTTATCCAACACCAAGTGTGGCCATATACAGGATTGTTTCCTGTAGTTTCACCTTGGAGGATGTTTGTGTTTGGTTTATTTCAGTTTCACTCCTCTGCTTCCTCCCCACCTTCTTTTTTCCTTTGTATCAATTTTTCCTTTTGTCACCAAAGAAATAAAGGAGAGGAAAAAGGGAGAGAAACCAGGGGGGAAAGGAAACCCAATGAATCAAAAAAAGCCCCAAATGCCTACATTTTTCATTTTAAGCTACAACATTTTTTTTTTCATTAAAAAGCCAATTTTAAAAAAATTAGGAATACATTTCATTCCAAAGTTTTCAACCAGATCTTCAAATGATGGTGTTTGGGGGGTTGGAATTTTTATTTAGTACAACACTAATTTTCCTGTCCTAATACTGGACAGCACATGACACCAGTAATAAGCTTGAACTGGTCACCCAGGGGACTGGAAGGTTCCATTTGGATAAACACCAAAAGTTCAGATGCTTTTCTCAGTCATGCTGAAACCTTTGAAATAGGCAGAGCGATGCTGGAAATCTGATGCGGACAGGCTCTCCCTCAACATTTCTGGGGCTTCTCACATCCCAAAGGCTTGGAGTTAAACAGCAACCTTGTATAGAGGGTATTCCATTACTTTCACTACTGGTTAGAACCAGGGAGATGAGGAAAGATGGCAAAGAATGAAAAGGAAAGGTAATCTATGCCTTTTCTAGATTTCAAGGACTTTCCAGCTCAGATTCAATTTGGATTCTGGAGGGAAAGTTCAGGTCAAATCTGATTTCATCTGAATCTAATAGTAAAACAAATAAAGATGAAACTCTCTTACCGTGGGTCGCTTCCAGACAATACCCTGCGTTTTGGGGGAATGTGGCCCCAGGTCCTTATAGCCCAGAGAAGAAGGAGAGGCTGGGAATTCTTCATCCTTAAATAGAGAACCAGACTGCAAGCACTGCTGCCTCAAAACCTCATAATCCTGATTTAAATACTTCACTGCCTTCTCATTGGAGCCGAGCCCTTCTAATGCAGCTCTCTCTCTGGATAATTTGGCTGCGATTCCTGCCATCACTGTTTGCCTCCAAGGTGGTGTTGTATGAAGACAGAACAGCACCTATCTCATGAATGGGAGGGGATGAATATAAGTGAGTGGCCAGGTGGGGGTGGAGTGAGTAAACAGATTACATAGTCCAGCACCTGTAGAGGGAGAAGGCACAATGAAAGTGCAAATATGTACTCAAGACTAGAGGAAAGAGAAGTTGGGAAGAGACAAAGAATCTGTGCTCATGACTCAGTAGAATCCGGTTCTCATTATATTTTCTATTTGTATAACAGCCTGGGAGTTCCCTCTATATTTCTAGCACAGGGCAGGGAATAAGAGGGGAAATGTTTTAAAACTAAAGATGGCCCGAACCCACATAATTCAGACCAATTCTGAGCTTGCATAGGTGCTTGGAACCAGGGGCTTTGTTTATCCTGTTATAGAGGACAGAGCAGGATCACAGTTCAGACTCTATGGCTGTGTCTACATTGGCATCCCTTTCCGGAAAAGGGATGCTTAGACACTTCAGAATTGCAAATCCACGGGGGATTTAAATATCCCCCGCAGCATTTGCATTTACATGGCTGCCGCTTTTTTCCGGCTCGGGGTTTTTGCCGGAGAAAAGCGCCAGTGTAGACATGATTTTCCGGAAAATAAACCCTTTTCCGGGAGATTCCTTATTCCTACTTGAAAGGAAAAAAAGTTGGGGAAAAAAAGTTGCTTCGCTATAAGTTTTCAAGTTTTTTGGAACTTATCTTGGACTTATAGCGAGGGCCCCCTGTACTTATCTCACAGAGGTGTTGTGAAGTATAGTCAACCAACATTTGTGTGATGCCTTGAAAGCTTTGGCAAAAATATGCAAATATTGCTTTTATAATCAATATCCCTGGAACAGAAGTCTCTCTTAAAATCAGATATTGAAGCTTGAAAGTAGCAGCTCTGGTTCCTCTCTGTGCAATATTCCTAATATCAATATTTCCATTTTTCATCCTAAATCAAGGCAAAAACCAATGTTGAGGTATCAGAACTTCATGCTTCATAGCAATTCTGATTTTCACTCAACTCTAACTCTAATAAAGCTCGCTGTTAAATACTCACTACTCAGCCTCATAACAAGCATAAAGTTTCCTTTGTCACTTTCATCCCAGTTGTGCCATTCCTAGTTGTGCCATTCCAAATCATTCTGCTCTCTTCCTTGTGTTTACACCCACCAAATATTTGTAGACAAGTAAACTAATTGACTTTTGACAGGTTCCCTTATCTCTAAAGAGGGTTCCTCCCCTAAAAAAATCTTTCCTTTTTTCAGCCCTGCTGCCTAAGCTTCCTCATATCCTCTAATTAGAGCCCTTATTTACAGGAGCCTACACTATGCTTGGCAAGGCCTGATCATTGTAAGAGAAGGCAGCAGGTTCAAGTTATATCTTGTGGGGACTAGCTCCTGCTTCAGTCACTAGCCTCCAAAAAGCTGCAGACCTTGAACAGAGAGGAACCAGAGCTGCTACTTTCAAACTTCAATATCTGATTTTAAGAGAGACTTCTGTGCCAGGGATATTTGTCCATAAAGGCAATATTTTGAATCTTTTTGCTGAGGCTCACAAGGCATCATACAGATGTTTGTTGATTACACTTTACAACACCTCTATCAGATAAGTAAATGTTGTTATTCCTGGTTTACAGATGGGGAAACTGAGGCACATAGCCTTAAGTGATTTCCTCTGTGTCACACAGCGAGTCAGTGGCAGAGCAGGGACAGAACTCTGAAATACTCATTACCGGTCCCTCTTCGATTTGACTGGTAAGCACAAGGTGCTGCCACCCAAGACTTTCACGGCTCAGTTGCTTGCATTTTGTAACATCCAGGATGGCACATTTTCCTATGCTCTACCTCCCAACACTTCCAATGGCTGAAACAGGACGCAGCACCATTCAGGTTTGGCTTGTCAGCCCACTCTGTCTAGAGGAGTAGAGGCAAGGTCATCGCTACCAATACATAGAATATGCAGCTGTGTAGGGTACCGTGAAATTTAGGGCACCAAATTGCCCCAAATTTTGTGGTGCCCTGAGCAGCCACATGCTGCACACTGACACCGGCTTCAGTGGCTAGTCCCATCCCCATGGCCACTCCCCCTCCCCAACGGGCTGCACACAGCAAGGCCAGCCCTAGCGAGCTGCAGGACCCAGGACAACCCCCCACTACCCTCTGCACCGCCCCTTCTGCACCCCCACCCTGCACACACTCATCCCTTTCCCTAAGTCCCCACCCTTGCTTCACCCCTTCCTGCTCCAACCTCACCCCGCTCCATTCCACCCTTTTCCCCAAGTCTGCACCACTGAGCAACGTGACCCTGGGGGAATAATGGGGCCTAGCATCAGCAGCATGGGTCAGGCCAGCACTCACCATCGGCAGTGGGAGGAGGAGTAACCCAGCCCCAGTCCACACAGCTCCCTGGACTCCCAGGCGCATCACTCTGCTTCCTGCCAGGGAGTGTGGGGAGTGGTCTCACCCTCTCCTCCAAGACCCCTTCCCCTTGTGCCTCCCTGCTCTGCTCCTGCTCCCTGCAGCAATGGGCCTTCCTCCATAACTCCTGCCCCCTGCAAAGTGACACACACACACGCGCCTGCGAGGGGCTGCACGGCACATCAGAACTGCTAGGGATGGTCCTGAGTAGAGGGACCAAACCTGATGTGTCACTGTAACCCCATGTACCAGGTCACAATGTGAGCCAGAGACTGTGTTGTTATATCAGAGATGGGTGAAAACTAGATACCAGCTCCCCACCCTAAAACTCTGGGGGAGTGAAGGATTGGGATCTGATTCACAATTACCAGTAGTCTTTCTCTGGATAATAGCTCACATCAAAAACCTGGCTCTAAACCCCTGCACGTTTGAAAGTGTCTGAGTCCCAGTCATGACCACAGTGCAGTTCCAGTTCCTTCCCCTTTCCTTGAACACAGGACTCATGCTGTAGTGCAAAAACCAGCCAAGTCAGGCTCTGAAGGCTAGAGTGGGAGTGGATTGCAGAGCCCAAACTACTGGGCTGTGTCTAGACCAGCCAGTTTTTCCGGAAAATCAACCGCTTTTCCAGAAAAACTTGCCAGCTGTCTACACTGGCCGCTTGAATTTCCGCAAAAGCACTGACTTCCTACTGTAAGAAATCAGTGCTTTTTGCGGAAATACTATGCTGCTCCCGTTTGGGCAAAAGTCCCTTTTGTGCAAAACTTTTGTGCAAAAGGGCCAGTATAGACAGCTCAGATTTGTTTTCCGCAAAAAAGCCCCGATCGCGAAAAGGGCTATCGGGGCTCTTTTGCAGAAAAGCGCGTCTAGATTGGCCATGGACGCTTTTCCACAAAAAGTGCTTTTGCAGAAAAGCGTCCGTGCCAAACTAGACACTCTGTTCCAAAAATGCTTTTAACGGAAAACTTTTCCGTTAAAAGCATTTCTGGAAAATCATGCCAGTCTAGATGTAGCCCTGCTGTTTTTAGTACTGTAGTGCAAGACCCGGAGTCTGTTGAACCAGGGCCCAAGACTCATTGGTGCAGGCTGTGTGGACATATCCTGTGGTTCCCAGACTGGGAACTTCCTTCCAGCTGTTGTCTACAGGCTATATTGTTTTTCTATTCTTACATTTGCTTTTCGGGGGTATTGGCAGTTTCTTGGTAGCTCCAGGCTGCAAATCTCAGCTGCACTGTTCACTGAAATGCAGTGTACTCTGGGATGTATGAATCATCATTTACATTGAGAGACTGTCACTTCCTATATGTGCTTTGGTGAGCAGGCAGCTCCACTCTGCGCATATATCAGCGTATGTCACTTTTATTATGTCCACTACAAATTGTAGCGCCTACCGGGGGAGGAGGGAATAAGTTGTAAAGCCATAGCATGGTTAAAACTTATTTTTTTCCCATCTGCACTGCCTGATTAAACTATATTTTCCCTGTCTCAGTGCATTACCATGTTGCAGTGGGTCCACCAGAATTATTGTTTTTACCAGGTAGACAGGATTTTAAAGATGATCGACTGCATATAGCAAGCTGAGAAAACAGCATTTTCTCTCTGATTGAAGTTCTTGTTGTGGTATAGTCAGCTCTTAAAAGGGGAACACAAGATCCTGCACTTGAGGCAGGGCATGTGCATTTTCAAATATTTTGTTTATAAAATGTATTATAACAAATCCATGGGATTTCCCGGTTGTGACCATGATACACACTAGGATCCCTCAGAACCTCACGGAGGTAGCAGAGATAGAACACAGATCATCCTATAGTCAAAAGGCCTTCCCCCCCCCCACCACAAAAAGGAGAATCTCCACCATAAGTTAACAGTACAAGATCTATGACACAGATGATCAATTTTCATTCTGTTCAGTGGAGGGAAGTGATGCACATGCATTCTGGCCAGTTTATTGCAGCAAATAACCTAGAGTAATAACTGACAATATATACAAATTTAAAACTATAATTTAAAAACATCATCTATAATATAAAGCATTGAAACTTTTAATAGGAGAAAGAGAAACCTGACCACAGAGACACTGTTTCTTATACCTGGTAGAATGTTTTATGTAACTGTAACCATACTTCGAACTTTGTAAGGGATGCTTTGGACATGAACTGCTACATTTCCTAACCTTTGCAGCAAATGATGACGTTCATGAACTTATGCTAGCTGAAAAATTTCCTCATTGGGGCACATTAACTGTATGTGAAATACAAACCATCCCACTGAATACTCATTGCCAGTCTAGCTCGAATGGACAGGATCTAGGAAATAAATATAAAGCTGACACAGACATTACACCTTGCCTCATGGCACTGCAGCAAGAAAAGAAACTGTAGCGTGACTGAAGCAGGGTGGGTTAATACTCACACATGTTCTGGTCAATATCCTTTTGGTCTCCCTTTATTGTTTGGAATGATCAGTTACTTTGCCCCAGAAACAAACCTCCTGCACTTTCCATAATAAATTAGCAGCAGAGAAACTGGGTGGGGGCTTGTTAATATGGCCTGTCTCAACAAGCTAAATGGAAGAACATTTGCAGGCTACACCTGCAATCCTCTGAGGATTGTAAGAACAAGGGTCCTTGGCTACAGGCTCTCTCA